GCGCGCGGAGCGGGGCGGGGGCAGGTCCCGCCTCCACCAGGCCAGACAATGTGACTGAAGCCCAGAGTGGATCATTCACCGGAAAGTCTGGGCCAACGTGATCGGGGTGCAGCGCCTGGCCAGGACGGGGTCCCCGGGGTCCCGGCCCTGACCGCCTCCTTCCGCAGCGACTGAGAAACCGGCCAGCGCAGGGCCAGCGCCCAGGAGTGGGCGAGGCGGCCGGGCGCCCCACTGCCGCCGGCCAGGCCCTGCAGCCCCCACGGGTCCTGCACACTGGCGTCGTGGGCACGCTGAGCTGTGTGCGGGCCCGGCAGGACGCCCTGTGCACGCTGACATGCTGTGTACACACGTGCACACGCGTGTTCGCAGGCCAAGCAGCGCCCCGACGGGGCGTGGGGCCCCAGGCTGAGGACGCACACAGCTTTCTTGTCTCTGGAGAAACGGGTGTTCGCAGAGCTGGCCTGCACGCAGGTGGGGGCCGCGCTGGCCTGCGCGGGGCTCGGTCCCGCGTGAGACACACTCGCTTCCCAAGTGTCCGGCCCTGGCCCGTCGCCCCTCAGTGCCTGGTCTCTGGCACCGGCCTCTCATTCCCAGGGAGAACGGCTGCCTGAGCGCAGGGTAGCTGGCCATCACCTCGGCGCCGGGCCCGCAGGCTCTGGAAGTCAGGCAGGCCCGGCCACAGGACGTCACCTCCGCCCCACACTGGTGGCCTTGCCCTGGGGGCACCGACGCCCGGCCTGCTCTCCGCGCCAGAGGCCTCACCGTCTCTGACTCAGCGCCATCGGGTGACCCGCGGGGAGCATCCTGAGCCATCGACCTCAGCAGCTTTGACCCCAGCAGCTGGGACTGACGGGGCCTCGGGAACACCCATGGCCTGAGGGGGCCCACACCCTATTTCTCCGAAGGCACTCTGAGGTCGGGGACACTGGTCCCAGCGACACTACCCGACCGGGTCAGGCGTCCAGGGAGGGGCGTGTCCATGCGGCGAGGGTGGCCCCTGCCCCTCCAGTCACCGGGAAGCCAGGCCGCGGCTCAGATTCCATGAGCTCGTGCTGCAACTCGCACCTGAGAGGCTGTGGACGACGGAGGACACTCGCCTACGCCTTGCGGTCAGCTTGAGGCCCGCGGGTGAGGCGAGCCCCGCGCCTGGGGCGGCAGACTCGGCGAGGGGCGGATGTCTGGCGGGCCTGGCTGCCCCGTGCCACCTCCCGACCAGACGCCAGGGAAGGAAGCGGTGCAGGGTGGGGTGTCAGTGGTCCTGAGGGTGGGTGTCCCAGGCCAACTTTTTTTTTTTTTTAAGATTTATTTATTTGTGAACACAGAACGGGGGGTACAGGCCAGAGGTCAAGGGGCGGCGAGAGGCTTCACCAGAAACAGAGTGGGGAGCAGAACAGGCAGATCGACGAAGTCCACTGCTGAGGGGAGCACCGGGCGGGTCAGGAGAGGTCTGCCGCGCCCTGTGGTCCCCTCTGGGGCAGGCGGGCATCGAACTCGTGCTGCGCTTTAACCTGCTACGCCACCAGGGAGGGCCCAGCCAACTTTTTTTTAACAGGAGTTAAGTAACTTTTATGACTCTAGCTGGAACAGTGCCTGCCCATGAAATGGACCCCGCGGCCTGCTGGGGAAGCTGAGCTGAGTAAGCACACGAAGGAAGGGCACTAGCGTCCCCCAGGGGCACAGGCGTTAAGCTTCATCGCCAAGAAGCTACTGCCAGCCACTGTGGCTGGCCTGAACCCCCCAGTGAGTGACCCCCCGTGCAGCACACCCCCGCTGGCTCCCCGCCGCTCCCCTCAGCAGTGCACTTCAGCGGATGCGCCCGTTCTGCTCCCCACTCTCTCTGGTGAGTCCGTTCACCCCCATACCTCTGGACTGCACCCCAGTTTTTGTGTGTATGAAGAACAGCTAAGTGCAGGCCCGCCTCTGTGGAAAGACCCCATGCGGGGAAGTCGGCTGGCAAGGATGAGGGAAGCCGCCGAGCCTGCGGGGCGCGGCCCAGCGTGTGGCCTGGACCTGGAGGCCCTGCTGGGGACGACGGCCTCCCTGGTCCCGCAGGCCTGTCTCCCCAGCCAGGCAGAGGCATGCACGACGCTGTGGGCCGGCCGGGCCCCTCGCCGGCGGGTGGATTCGCGCCCCGCTCCCGGACCTCCGGTCTCACCGACACCACGGCGCCCCCGGCCTGGCCCCGGCGCCCCCACCCACGCCTGCTCCGCCTGGCCCGAGCCGAAGCTTGTTTATACTCGCTCAAAGGGATGAAACTTGCCTGCAGAAACAGCCCCACGGCATGTGTGGACGGAGCCGGGCCGAAGCCGGGCTCCGCAGGGCCTGCGAAAGTGCCCAGGAGCCCAGGGGACGGTCACGGCGGGGGGCCGCCCCGCCGTGGCGCCCCAGGCCCCGGCTCGAGCCGCCCGCCCCCCTCACCGCCGGGAGGTGACATTTCCGGAAGCCGCGGCGCCGGGCCGGACTCTTTGTTTTTATTTTCCCTGGAAATGCAGCAGCGTCACGTGGCCCCGGTGGACTGGAGACTTAAAGCGATCTGGTCTCCGGGTTCGGGGCTAATGAAAACCTTTCCCGGCTAGCAGCCGAGGCCAAAACAAATGCTTGAATTCGGGTCCTGTTGTGTAATGAGGAAGTTTAATTAAGGCCCCGCATTACAGCTGTAAATGTCCCTTTATGTAATAAGGTCTAAATGAAACTGAACCTAATCAAAGTTACAATTCCTTCATTAGCAAATTACAAACACGCGCGCAGCTGACACACCAGCAGTGATTATCGCAGCTAATAGCCTCGCTGCCACCAACAGCCGAAACAGCCTTCAGATGTCCGTCTGCGAGCACATTAGGGCCACGCGGCGTCCCTGTGATCACAAGGGCTCTCGCGCGGCCATCTGATTTACCCCGGTCGCCTGGCGGCCAGCGGCCAATCAAAGCCCCGCCACAAAGGCGGCCTTTGAAGCGGCCGGCCGGACACGCGGCGCGGGCAGCGCACTTCATCAGATGCGCCCCTACATTCCCTCTTCTTATTCTAATGAGCCATTTTAATACACACTGGCACCTCTTCTAATTGATGTCAAGTGAGTGACTGCTACATTCATCACCAGAGCGCGCGGCCCGGCCCGCGCGGGCGAGGTGGTCCGGGCGGGAAGGCGCGTACCTGTTTGATGGGGATGGCTCGTCCGCTGCCGACGCTGTCTGCGCGACCCTCCAGGCCTTTCTTCTCTTTGTCTGGGTCACTCCCTTTCCGAGACTGCAGAGCAAAGAGAAAGTTAGCGCGGGCTCAGGCTCGCCGCGGTCTGCCTTGGCCAGCACGCGTGGGCGGCGCACG